CAGGGCGTTTGTGTAAGGGTGTTCGTTAATGCATTTGCTTGAATATATCACACCTTGACTTGTATTCCAAGTTTAGTTAATGTGTGCATCTACCTCCCTCCCCCCCTTTCCCCCGCCCTCATCTACCTCACTTCTGAACCATTGCATTATATCTAGGCTATCCGATGAACGTGAGCGTTCGAGCGTGCAGGCACGTGTTGTATTGAATGTGTGCGCCGCAGGCTTTTGGGACAGGGGTTGGGGGGTGGGGGCGGCGTCTCTACATATCGATTAATACGTCCACTTGCTATCTTTGCATATTTACGTCGATTCACTATCTATTTTTGTGTTAGTTGCGTTCTGCGCATTTGGTTTACCGGTAAACCGGGGTGACAAAGACACCATTAGCTTCTAGGATTCGTAATTTAAAAAGTCATGAGCTTAATTTTATATTTTCTTGTTCACATTAGGCTGATGGTTGGATAGTATCGATCTATACCATTTAGAGAGAAAATTTGTCCAACTATTTTTAAAATATTAGGAAAAATAGGGGGGGGGGGGGTGGAGTGCCTTACTCAGGCATCCTCATTAAGTTCTCTTTATATGCAAACTCCACATGAGGGGGACTTATGGTATACTGCTAACAGTAATGTAGGTAATCGTATTTCAGTTCTGAGAAATTGTTTGTTTTTATTGATTTTCAACAAAGAGAAAATAGGTCATTACATTTCAAATTGATAAATGTTACGCTTAAAGTACACGTAATTATTTATCAAATTTTTACGAATTACAGTTACAAGTGATGAAGAAAAACACTACTGCACATGCATGCGGTACCATTCCAGATAACAGCAATAGATTGCATTTATATGATCTAATTTGCAGTTCTGAAGATTCGACAGCATTTGGCTCTACGAAATTTTCAAAGAGATCCCGAGTTTGTCTCTGATTTTCAACTCGTCTGGGACTCCGAATTTGGGAAGAGAAATTCCTGTTCTAGAAGCTCATCATCATCATTTGGTTGTACCGGTCGTCCTTCATGCCAGACTAATGCAGACAGTCTTGCTTTACGATAATCAGAAAAGAAATCAGCGCACGTAACACCAATTCTGAAAGAACTACACTGGCTGCCAATAAAAGAAAGGATCAAATACAAAACTGCCGTCTCTGTTTTAAATGTATAAATGATAGTGCACCTTTTTATCTTAAAACATTCCTGGAATTATATCATCCACCTAGAGCCCTAAGATCAGCCTCTGATAATCTAATTCTTAAAACTCCAAAACAAAATTACAAAACATACGGCGAGCGTTCCTTTTTATTC